CAGAAAAAAAAAAAACAATGAGTCAGCATTTGAACGGGTCCTGTAGTTCTCTCCCCAATTAATGTCTGAGAGAGAACCACTTGACCACAGGACCAATAAGTCATCAGTACAGTAGAAAGAAAAAATGGCTTTGTTGACAGCATCCTTCATTGCATGTAACCCTGTCATGTAAAAATCTTTCATTAACACAGTTGAGACACATATTAAACAGCACAAGTGAAGTAATGTTTTCTGGGTCTAAGTCAAAGCCTTTCTAAGAGAATATTGTGATATACTCTTAAAATGCTGCACTTAGAGATAATTACTATGTAAATGTTGTGAACTTGCGAAATATCAAAATCAAATCAACCAACTTATTATCACCCAGAAAAACACAGATGATCAAGAAATGTGGACCAGAAGAAAACATTGGATAATGGGGTGTTTTTTTTTTTAAGGCATGCTGATCAATAACCAATGCCACCCAGTTAAAATAGAATGATACTGCATCTGAGATCATTACAAAATATGTCCTAAACATGGTGTATGGTGTTAAAAAGGTGCTGATATATTTTTTTTCTGCAGGAAGACCTGGACCGCCTGGTCTTAAAGGACAAAAAGGAGACCCTGGAAGTACTGGTCCTCAGGGACCCCCAGGTCAGCAGTTTCTTCCAATTCCAAAGTATATGATCACAGAGTACCTCCTGTGATAATTAATTTAAACATCCTGTTCATCTTACATGATTTAGAATTAAAATAATCAGGTGGACAGACTGTTGCATATAATATATATAAACACAATTTCTAAAAAACTAATAATTTCATCACTGTTTGACATTACTGTAAATCAAATCAAACCAAACCTTTCCTGATTAATCCATCTAGGCTAGAAGTCAGCCCTAGTTCCTCTGAAGAGGCTTCAGACTATTTTTTTATGATAGTGTGATAAACAGGATGCTAAGGGTCATCATAATGTACATTTGGAAGAATTCTTACATTGAAAAATTCTTAAATTATGAAGAAATCTTTGTATAATCATCTTCAG